TAGTTTACGACAGAGTGTTGTCTTGCCAATACCAGGAGGACCGTCTATTACTACTCGGAGAGACAGAGAACTATCTGTGGGTCGAAGGACACCTTCAACACTTATCTCTTCATTTTCAGTTAGTTGAACAATTTTATCAACTTGTCCTCTTAACAAATGCCAAGCTGATTTTGTTTGCATACTTGAGTCTTGTTTTTGAACTAATGCTAATCTTCCAAAGTAATTGTTTCCAATTCTTGGTGGCCAGTCTGTAGCAACAATAGGTTGGTGTTTGTAGTGTTGTCTCATATTTTCAGCATATCCTTGAACATCATCAGGTATTGAACTAATGGGTTTAGCTACATCAGACTGACCTATTGATCAAGACACAGATAATGCACCACCAAAAATGTACATGTAAATGTACATCTTAAACACATGTACTATAGTACATACATTATAAATATTTATTACCTTTTATATTACTAACTAGTGCTACAGCATTGGATCCATCATCAACTGGTGATGGTAGTACAGTATGTGAACTGACATTATCAGGCACAGACTGACCTACATGTGATGCGTAGGGAATATTAATCACTGATACTTTATACACATGTCTTACCTAACTGGTGTAATATAGAAGTAGCAACATCTGTTAGTGTATGATGTTGTTGGTTTATTAATGCATGACATATATCAATAAGATACTGCTTTTGATTAAGAGAGGATTCTAATTGTCTCAGTAATGTGCTCATCAGTTTCATTGCTTTAGTATAATCAGTCATTACTCCCATTACAAGTACATCATCAAAAGCTTGTTGTGGTATCAATCCTTTAGTATGTAGCTCAGTTGCTACTTTGTAAATATTACTTGAGACTTCATGAGTGAGTTTACTAAAATGAGTCATTAATACATCCTTTGGATTACCTGTGATTATAGTGTATCAGTTACAGTTAATGAGTGATGTATTAAGTGTATAAGCTTACTTGTTACTGCTGTTAGAGGACCAGCAGTCTTGGCTTCAATATTATCATTAAAACTACTTCCAGTGAGCTCTGTTGATGCAGCATCTCTGTTACTGATTGTCATTTCCATATTGCTATCAGTTTCTGTAGACCATTTCAGTTGATGTTCAATGTTATTTGATATTTCATACTCTTTACATTGCTTCAAAGCATTAATGACATCTCTCCATGATGCTGTAGGATTAGCTTGTAACCATCTCTTATGTAAAGCCATTTTCATGAGGTGAGCATTTCTTTTTGTTTTATTGATTATACTGACATCAGATTGCGTTATTCCAGGAAGACAAAGAGCAAATGGTTTCCAGTCAACAAGCGGTTTAAGACACTTTGCAAATAAGAGACAAGATGGTTGATCATCAATCATAGGACCAGGATTGAGTTCAACATCTCCTGATAAGAGGAGGAGCTTACGTAGACAAACAATCAAATAGAAATCATTGTAAATCAGGTTAGAACTGCTGCCTCCAGGCAAGACTACTGACTGAAGGTAATTTGTATCAGTAACAGTAACACCAGTAGTACATTGTACTCGGTAGCAGTTACCTAATAATAAATAACCAGTAAATAGATCTATAAAAGTAAAAAGTTGCATGCAGTTACCTGTTGGAGGAATTAGGATGTGTATTGATAAAAAGGGAGAGAGAAAGAGGATGAGGAGGAGGAAAGCCATGATAAAAGATAGAGCTGCTGACAGTTTAGACATCTTCTCTTCTGGTATAGTACTGCCTGACTTGCTGTCTATTTTGAATGAGTGAGAGTGGTGGCTACTCGACGGTCTATTGTAGGCAGCCTGACAGTAGTTCCACAGTCCAATACTTGCTCTCCATTGAGAGACATCAATCATCTTGTAAGTCAATAAGAAATAGGCTTGTAAAACAGAGATGAGTGTTCCTATACCTTAAGAACACACCACAAAAGGGGGCACAAATTTCCTTACAAGGGCATTGGTAATGCTACTTCAAATGTAACAGGTGGCATCTTAGATATCTTCAAAAGATTCTTGTGTAAACATAATAACCTCATGGTACTCCTACATGTAGATCTATTTAAAAGTGTACTATCAATTGGAGTGGATCATTTTATTGATCATTACATGATAATAGATCTACAACAAAATTTTACATTTAGTGAGCTTGGAAAATACATAAGAAGCCAGTCTTAGGGCATTTAACAATGTATCAGTAAGAAAAGGAAATAAGAAGAAAATGTTGGCAATAATAAAAGAAGATTGACAACTATTATTATTATCAATTTGAACTTACTGTTCTTTTAGTTAGTAACTGTTGATTGTGTCAATAATAAATTGTTTTTAAAGTCAATTATCTTTATTACTATGAGGTGTAATTTATGACACTTAATATAGTTGCATCATGTTGCATCACAAACGACAGAGGATAAGCTCATATTGTTTATTATGATGGCTCTTCTTTTTATCATCATCTTCATCACAGGCACTTTGGTAACAGGATCCAGAGTTTGCATTAGTAATCTTCTTGATTTGGAGAATGTTATCCTCAACAATCCTGAGAATTTACAGAGTTTAATAAGAGCTTATTACCCTACCAACAACTTCCCATCACTTTGGATTAAAGTTGTTTATAACATTGATGAACCTATTGCTAATGAATCTACAATCTCTGTTACTTACAAGAATGAAAGTTTTGTGTTCTACTGGTCTAATTCTCCCCTACTACTGTATTTCCATCCTTTGTTACTCCAAGGAATCTCTTTACTATTTTTCAATCAAGATTACACTAGCCATGAAGCACAAATTGACATTCCTTTGTTCTGTGCTGGTTTTAATAGGCAAGAAAAAATTGAACTTTTGAATGATATCACAATATGGGTATGTTCATACTGTATTACTTAGATCTATGTGTACACATTATAGTTTGTATGTTTGTGTCATGCCTGCATTTTCAATTGTTTGTATGCTACTAGTCTAAGATTGTCATTTTTCATATTTAATATGTAGTTGAGATCTTATGCATCAGAGAGAAGTATCAAAATTGCTCTTGAAGGCTACAGTACATTTGAAGAAGATTCTGGCACTTTGAAAATTTTAACTATACATGGACAATTTAACCTATTTAATCTGATAGGACTTTCAGTAGCGTGGCTTGTAATTTTCTCTCAATTGGCTGCCTTTGGTTTTTTCTGGAAGAAATATGAATCTATTCAAAGGACTATAACACTTGATTTTGATCACCAACACATATCTCAGCGCCTTCACTTTAAAAGTATTTTTTGGGCAACAGTCATAGTCGATGGTATGTGCAGTATCATTATACTAGCTTTCGACTTTGCTAATTTCTTATGGTATGCACAGTTGTATAAAGATGCCATTCCACTATCTATCTCACTTTTATGTCTCCTAATCTTCTTAATTACAATCAATGCTGCATTTTCAATGTTTCTGACAATCAAGTACTATCGT